AATCCTCCTTGTATGACTTGATCAGCTGACAATCCGCTGTGAGGTCCTTCAGTGTGACCTTCTCGGATTGGTCCAGCTTCCTCAACATGCGTGTACGGTATTCCGCAAAGTCTGGTCCTTGGAATCCAGCGACGTAGAATAGACACTGTATGCCGTCAAAGTCGATGGTATCCAGCTTGGCCTCCGTACACTTCGTCTTCACCAGGAGCTCGTAGTTGTTAAACTCTTGGCCTTCATACCTCATCTTGAAGCATTCGAAACGGCGACGGAATAGTGTCTTGGCCGATCCGAATTGACGTTCTAGCACTTCCAGGACTTCGCTCCATGACAGTTCCGACGGCTGTTTGGGCGAAATGGCTGCGGTCAGCATTCGATGACAGTCTTCGTCCAGGCGCGAAACAAGAAGTCGCGTTCTGTCCATTTCGTCGAGGTCGTTGCACTCGTTTTCGAACAGGTCCTGATACCGCTTGAACCAGATGTCGAACGTGCGGTCTCTGTCGGGATCGTAGTTGAACGGCTCGATTCGGCGGTAGAGCGAGTCGAAAATAACGTGCTTGTCCTTGTTGACGAGCGGACTGCCGGCGGCTGACATCTTCTCCATGAGCTTGACTATTGCAGCTCCTTGTTCGTCCATTCGGCGTGCCTGGATGTCGAGCTGTTTTTGGATGGCTTGCAGGAGTGCTGGGAGCGCTTCCATTCTTGAGTCCTTGTGGTTCTTCTGATCGCCACTGTTGTAATCCTTCGAATGTGCAGAGCGCGTACGACGAGGATGAATGGGTTTATTCCGAAGGCGATGAGTAATAGTAGAAACAGCAACTGCCTCTCTAAGCCTGCTTAGTGCGGTCAACTAGCCAGTGCGGGCAAACTGCCACGACTGGGAGGTAACGTCTATGCCCTTGGAATGCATGACACTATTCTGCACAATGAAACAAAACAAATGAATCAATGAACAAAATAAACTAAAAGCAAAAAGGAAAAAACAAACTTCTTCGGAGCTGCTCATTGTTTCCGAAACTGATACGTGTGACGGCGCACTATGTTCAGTAGCGGAAGCAGAAGCAGATCCAGCCTGTAAGAGAAAGATTAACTAGGAAGACGCCAACACATGTTCTCTAAAGCTCTTCGAACTTCAATTACAATGAGATAATGTAGTGACAGATATGGTATTCAGGATATGAAGCGGTGAAGTGCTGTGTGCTTTATTTGGACGCTGTGGCGACCGTGCTCTCGTTCCGATGTTGCCGTTTCCGGGCGAAGGTTGTCATTTCTTTGTCCAGTACAAGACAAGACGACAACTGCCCCGAATGGGGATGCCCCACGAAAAATGCATCCTATGCATCGTTTACCCTCTCATCTCTCTGGGGTGTGAAAAGCGTATTCGTGTGGTTGTAAACGAACTAAATGTTGTCCCCTTTTAGCGCAAAAGATCCTCATTCAGAATAATGACAAATCGTGAAGGAAAGTGAATAGTTGACGCCCAAAGAGCGAACCGTTCGCAAGAGGGCTCGTTGAAGTGTTCCGACACCCAACAAGGCTAGATGACATTATCGGGGGGACAACGCTCACTCTGAACACAAAGGAGCGAACTTCGCTGCGGAACCACGTGCCCCTCCCCTCATCAAGCGCACCTTCTTGCCGTCGAGAAAATTTTACGACACGTTACGGTACGAAGAACGCGACCCCCCTCCCTTTGTGACCAATAGACCAAAGAAAGTCAACAAGCAGAAACGCACTTACACTCTAGTTCACTGCGGACGGTTAGGTGTGTCAGTCAGTATGAGTGTGTCACCCCGTTAAAGCCGTTCTCTGCCTTCTTGTTGTTGAAGCGCGCAAGCGACAAAAAGTGGTAGAAAACGAGTAATACGAACGATATGATACAGTCATATCATTTGCTCGCTTTAACAACTGGTGGAGAACGGGTTTGGCACCGCGCCAAACTCATTCCGCCTGACACGCCCAACCGTCCGCAACGAACTACACTATACGCCCCTTCCTGCCTCGCTGGGGATCCCCAGTGGAATGGAGAGGGGTGGTGTGCCCCTCCCCTCTCCATTCCACAACTACGATACCGTCTAGAATCCCCATAAAAACCTCTAAAATGCAGTGAAGAGACCCTTGCATGCAAACAGCTTAGGTAACGTCGTCCAAAACTAAATGAAAAAAGAAAACAACTCCTGAAATCGAGTAAACTCACTGAAGAATGCGGTAGTTCTCTCCACCGAGCAGAGGCCGTGGCGACGGTACTAGTAAATAGACCGCGTACAACTGGTCCTAAAATATTTCAACTGGACCATTAAGCGTTGCATCTTTCGTATCTAATTTGAAATGACAGACCAAGAGGGGATGCGGTGTAGTGAGGGAAGGACATTTTGCGTTTTCGCTGCCTTCATTAGTTCCAGGCTTACAAACCTCACTCTGGCAAACCTATGAACTCTTGTGAACCTGGTGCAAACCCGTGAAGCCATCACTTGTTTGACAAGATTCCACAGGTAATTTACAAAAGCTGGCAGATACTCTTTACAAACTTTGACAGGTGGTCTCCACAAACTTTGGCTACTATCATTTCGTGCTTTCACAAGATTTCACAGGTCTCCACGTGATGACTCGACACACCGATTGCAAGTAGCAAAAGGGCAATATGCCCCCCCCCCTCGTCGCCCAACACCGCCCAAGATGATAAACATATCTTCTTAAAAAAACGTAGCGCAGCAAATCTCAAAATGTACCGAAAAAGAACATTCCTGAATTTGTGAAGCGCTTTTCAGTTTTCGTTTAATTTCATACTTCACCTGAGCATGTAATACTGCCTAAGAATTGGAAAAAGACACCTAGTGTCACAGAAATTTGGCTTGTAGGAGAACTTATTGATGCTCTAGTGCGCCCTTCTCAATGGTTACCCCCTGTTTACTGTACATTTGGTAGAACCCAAAGGCCACAAAAAACAGTGTCATTAACAGATATCAAACCAATATGCAGTGAACCATGAATAATCGTCGAAAAAACAGATAGGAAGTCATCGGAAGGACTATGAATCGGTCGTCAACCGCGTGACGCGATTGCGGCCATTCTACCGTAACCGTTGAAAATTGAGCACGAAATTTTGCGCTTCGCATTCATTTCGTTCCACTGCCCTCCCAAGTGATTTCTTGCCAGGGTAAAGGGAGTAATGTAGTACGGTATTATATTATCTCATATTATCTCTGCAGAGAATGAGCAAGATCAAAAAGTTGTTGGTCTAAAAAGGGTATCAAGGCAAATTATTCACTCATCTGTATTTATTTCTCGGAGCTATTGTAGCTGTAGATAGCAATTTAAAGCTTTTTAGCCGTGCCAGATACGGATTTTCGGTAGAACAATGGGATTATGATTGCGGGAGGGAGGGGGAGTGTTTGAGAACTCGAAGATCTCTCACGAGACACACTCTGCGCTTACCATATGGGCGGTGCCACTTAGGCAAGTGCGATCTTCTGACAGGTACGCCTCTTTTTGACAATGGGGAAAGCGCAGTGGTCTGAGTCACAATGCTCAGTCGGTATGCCTTTTAGCATGAATGTTGTTGTTCATGAATCTCGAAAGGAGTCCCGATCTAAAAATATGGGCTTTTAGCCGTGTAAATACTACTGTTGATGGGACTGATCCGTTTCCAGCGCTGCCCACTTGCAGAACTATTTCACAAGGCGTTCAGACAGGGGCCACGCCAGCCGGAAAAGCTTGTAGGCCAAAAGATAGCTTGCAGAGAGGCTGGTTATTCATTTCACCTGAATATGTTTTATTTCAATGCTTTACCGCCCCAAAAGCCCCAGGAAAGCTCAGGTACTCCGGAGAGCGAAGGAGGAAACGAGCCAGCCCACTGATGACTTGCAAACGATTTTTCGGATGTTTAGATCCCGTGCCCTTTAGAAACTGCACTCAAGGGGACATGATTTTGGAATAGTCTCTATGTACGTGGAAACTATATCAAGCAGATACGCCAGCATGGAGCTGCTCGAGCTGCAAGCCATGTGAAGCCCTTGAATATAATAAGAGATCAGGCCTGAAATTCAAAGAATGTTTCGGCCAGTGTTACAACGGATTTTCTTACTGTTCCGCACGGGCCTCTTTATGTTGAGGCCCGTCGAACTTCCGCACTCCCGTGCACATCTTGGTGTTCTGAATTTTTCTAACACACGACTCCCTCCCCCATTTTCCCCTTAGTACGAGCACATTTTCCCCTCAGTACGAGCCACCTTACACAACCTGCCTACAATTTTACCACCATACCTCACCAAATTTTACCAAAATTCTGCCGTCAAGCGGGGGGTAGGCGTGCAACGAGAAAATCAACAATATCTACAAGTTTCTCCTGACACCGAACGCGAGCTCTCCATCTCCCAGCTCCCGAAATCGTTGAGGTTTCCACCACGGATTCACCATATGCAGAAGTCTCTAAGAGGTAACAAGATAAAAGACAGGGCACTGACAGCATGGGCTTCAGCCGATGAAAGACATCGAGGTAAGTAGACACCAGATCTGAAAGATCGAATCACGGTAAAGTAGCGCTTAGCGAGGTGTCATGAATGAACAAGAGGCCGTCATGCTGCACATTCATTTGAAGAAAGCCTTACACCCCATAGCAAGACTCATCGAAACCACGGTCAACAGAGTAGAGGAAATGAATCGGCCTCCTTCCTCGTAATGGTTACTTGGAGCACCATGTCATCGCAGCGCACCACCCATTAATCAGCGTTTTCTGCCAGTCACTCAGAAATTCAGCTACCAGGAATGACTTTTCACAAGTATTCTGGCTGATTGAGACAAAAAAATGGGATCTACCCCGAGCACGGGAAAGAAATCCCACGGTATGTGAAGTGCTGATGCGTGTTTTCCACCCCAGTTTGTACGCACTCGGCCCCTTGGGAGTGACATCCACAATCAGGGGTAATTTTGAGAAACCCCATAACGTAACACATTCGGTGGGAAAATAGCCTCGACTGCGCTTTAATCCACGCCTCCCCCCCCCCCACACGCCCTCTCGTTTGCAGGGATCATGACAGCATCTGCGAAAAGGGTGTCTGCTTTGTAGGAGGTGGGCGGGTCGGCAGCTGTAGAAGTGAACCAAT